GGCAATATGCTGACTCTGTAAACCGCTTAGAGAGGGCTGAAAGCCCTATGAAGCGGTATATAAGCCTAACTATTGCTATTGCTATTGCTATTGCCTTCGTAACAACATTGGCAGTCTTCACGAAGCTCCTGGGCTCCTCCCAGGTGGCTGTGTTTTATTTTTTTTCTGTGGCCAAAGTGATGGGTTGATTCAATTTATATGCCATCCATCCCACAGGATAAGCCGTTTGAGTTCCCAGCCCCCTAAACGCTCCTCTTTTTATCCTAAAAAATAGATTTCTGTCACTTATCTGAGCAGGGGGCTGGACAAGAAGACCTCTGAGGTCCCTTCCAGCCCCTGTTCTGCCCATCCCATCCTACTCTCTTCTGTGTTCCATTCTATTCCATCTTCTATTCTATATTCTATTCTATTATTTTCATATTCTATTCCTTATTTCTATTCTATTCCTTATTCTCTTCCATTCTGTTCTAATCTATTCCATCTTCTATTCTATTATTTTCATATTCTATTCCCTATTTCTATTCTATTCCTTATTCTCTTCTGTTCTATTCTAATCTATTCCATCTTCTATTCTGTTATTTTCATATTCTATTCCCTATTTCTATTCTCTTCTGTTCTAATCTATTCCATCTTCTATTCTATTATTTTCATATTCTATTCCCTATTTTTATTATATTCCTTATTTTGTTCTATTCTATTCTAATCTATTCCATATTTTATTCTATTCTATTCCTTATTCCGTTCTATTCTATTCTATTCTGATTCTACTCTACTCTTTTCCTATTCTTATTCCATAAATCTCTTTTCCTATTCCCTATTTCTATTCTCTTCTATTCTAATCTATTCCATCTTCTATTCTGTTATTTTCATATTCTATTCCCTATTTCTATTCTATTCCTTATTCTGTTCTATTCTCTTCTAATCTATTCCATATTTTATTCTAATCTATTCCTTATTCCATTTTATTTTATTCTATTGTATTCCTTATTCTCTTCTGTTCTATTCTATTCTGATTCTACTCTACTCTTTTCCTATTCCTATTCCATAAATGCAGACTGTCCAGTCTTTGGAGAGTTATGACTGAGGTACCCCCGTTATCCCAAGACAAATAGAAGTGGGTCTCTTTAAGCCCTTGACCCCCTCACTCCCACCCCCCAGGGCCTGGAGAAAACCCATCCCATCATCTCTGTGCTGACCCTCCCCTGCCTCCCTCCTTGCTATCGGTCCTTTATGGGCACCTGTCCAGGGAGATACTCTTCCCTATGGACATCTGCTTTTTCAAACCGTTTCCCAGAATTCTCTCCTCCTCCCTCCTCTTTATTCACTTAAAGACTAGCTTCATCACTGTTCACTTAATGACCTATTCACTTAATGACTAACAACTGCAGTGATTCACTTAACAACTGTGGTAAAAATCTTGTGAAATGGGGCGCGATTCACTCAACTTAGCAGTGGCAGTGTTTATTTTATTATTGTTCTGACCTAGGCTTCGCAAAAAATCACAATCTTAGTCCCAAAAAACCCCTCTTTTATTCAAACGGCTGTGGATTATGGTCCCTCGCAGCCCATAATGATTCGCAAACAGTCTGTAAGGAATCCGACCGATACCTGCTTGAGTTGCCAAAACTCTTCCAATGTTGCTAAGCAATCCCCTTTATCTCCCTGGAAATGATGGCGGAGACCTAATTGCCAATTAGATCAAATGCCAAACGGGAGCACAGAGTCGAATAGGACTTCTCTGAGCTCGAACCAACTATATAAACGGATGGCTTCCTAGCAGAGGCTCCCATCCCTCTGCTCCTCTCTGATGTCTTGTGGGGGGGTGGGGGGGCAACCATCTCCAAGCCTTGATTCCCCAGTCGCCCTTTTTGTCTTAACTCTTCTTGCCTTCTGGCAGCTCTGCGCATGCACGCACGGGGAACAGGCTTAGCAATAGCAATAGCAGTTAGACTTCTATACCGCTTCATAGGGCTTTCAGCCCTCTCTAAGCGGTTTACAGAGTCAGCATATCTCCCCCATAGTCTGGGTCCTCATTTCACCCACCTCGGA